CTTTCCCTCGGCCATCAAACTAAACAGCCGACTCAGGTTCTACCTCATGTAATTCCACCTGTACCGTTTACATACTCATTTTGCACATGCACAATTGCACACTCACTGCTGAGTGTTTACACTCCACAGCTCCCATGTTGTATATATATTCTCTCTGCATTATATTGTGTTCTTGTTGTATTTTTATTTGCTCCCTTCACTTGCTGCTTTAAAGTGCCTTAGATTGGTGATTTTACTGCCTATTTAGATTTGTTTTATTGCTCATCTACTTTATATTTCACTTGTTTTATGTGGCATTCATGTGGACAGCAAAGTAAGAATTTCATTGTACAGGGAAACACGTTTCCTAACTGCGCCTATGACAAATAAACACTTTGACCTTTGAGTGCATACATGCATGGTACTCAGTAAATTCTTACCACTTCAGGTAACAGCTTGGTGGCAAGATCATGGATGGCCTTACCCAGAATGCACAAGGATGACAGAATGAAAATCACACCCAGGATAGTACAAGCTCTGCAGAGAAGGACAGAAAAAAAAGCATGTACATCAATAAACACACAAACACAAATTACAGTGCCAGTTTCATACTGGACTGTGCGAGCTGTGTTGATCCTCCTGAGCTGAGGCTGCTGTTTGGTTATCTGTCAGTGTAAATACTACTGACAGCCAGCAATAACTACCTGCTCTCTTTCAGCACCAGTAAGTGTCTATCAGTGAGGAAATGAGAATAATCTCCTCCAGATAGAATAGATGCTGATGCAACAACCAACCCCAACAGTGAAAACTGACTGAAATACAGAATAGCAGAAACTAGCTTGGGCAGACTGAAAGACATTCACGGCTCCCAGAGGATGAATACTACTGACTTAGAGCATGAACACGTGAACATGCTAACATTCAGATTGAAACCTAACAACAAATGGTAAAACAAGACAGATAAAGCTACGTTAAATTAATGCAGGCATCCTTTAGACACCTTCATCCAATTAACTGAAGGCTGCTCCTGAGCCACAGTGTGCCGAGTTTGACCGGGTGAGGTAACCAAGGCAACGCCCAACATGACTCTGGGAAGTCCACAGCAGGACACACACCACACACACACACACACACACACACACACACACACACTATGGAGCTCTTAATCCCCATTTATACCTTCGCCCCTGCTGTTTCTTGCACACTGTGGATGTAAAATGACAACATCCCTGTGCTGCCGTTTTCTTAACTACAAAAACACAAAGAGACTGTTGAAGGTTTTCAGCAAAAATACTGCTTCTGTTTCAATATATTCAAGGTGATGTTACTCTTTAATATCAATCCCTGCAAAACAGCAGTATCTCATTCTAACCTCTGCCATGTGAATGCTGTTAAAAGCTCCACATTTTCAGTTAGGAACCAAACTCCCCAATTCGTCTTCTTGTGACATCTCGAGCTTGTTACCTTGGTAACCAGGGCATCACTATTCAGCCACATCTCCTCAATCAAACACAGACAGATAAAAAAAAGAATAATATGGATTCTCTGGTGCTTTTTCTCATTCTCTCTGATGAAAGTCGCTGGCTGTTTAACAAACACACAAAAAACACTGTGTTAATTCGTGCAATATGTGTTTACATGTACACTCATACTGTGTATAATGTTTTAAGTACTTGTTCTGTAAACTTCCACATTCACACACATGCCTGCTTTAGTTGCTCGTGGGTGATTCTCTCTTTTGTGTTTCACTACATTTATGCATGAACATCTGCGTGTTTTTATGGTTGTGCGTGTCTGTGGTTGTCAGTCTGATCCAGGAGGAAGCCTGGCACATATTTGTTTTTTACTTCCATGTCTTCTAAGAGGTGCAGCTGCTGTCTTCAGTTTACATGCTAATGTTTGTCATACTGACTAATCTACATAGGTGTTTTGCATTGCAGGGGGAAACATGAGAGTTGTTACTGTAGCTGTAGGAAGAATGGATGGTTTCTTCATTTTAATTATAGAAACCTGGAGTACCTGGAGTTTCAGATCTCTCACAACAGCATTTGTGTTATTTATATAGAAAATGATCAAAAGGAGGCAAATAGAAAGACACTGAAAATCTGTATGCTGTTGATTGATAACTGAATTGACAAACACTGAAGACTGAGGCTCAATTTTGAGGAGTTGTGAATTCAGGAGACACAAAATTAAAAAGCTAGCTTTAAATCAGATTATTCAAATATCATTATTCAAATAACATATTAAAGAAATACTTCTCTACATAAAAGAAATGCTATTTAATGATACTTTGCTGCATGTCCAATATTTAAATTAATTGTTGAAGTAGTGTCTTTTTCTGTTTGTGTTACTGTCTCCAGGGGACACGGTTTCAAATACTCCGTATGAATATACCAGATGCTACAAGGCTAAAAGGTAAAAATAGAATAATTTTCATCTGATTCATCCAGTAACGGATGCTTTTGTTTTGGTTGTATTTCAGTGTTTTTTAAAAAAAAGGAAATTTCAGCTCATCTGCTGTGCGTGAGCTCGTCTTCCTAGAGCACAGCAGAAACAGAGTGATACACAGCTAGGTTACACTCTGTTTTCTTCCTTTTTGTCACCTCCTTGCTGGCAGCAACCCGACCATTCAACAGGCTCTGAAAAGCCCACCTGAACTCCACACACACACACACACGCCATTTTCAGCCAGGCAGAGATAAGACTTGAGACGCTCGTCTGTGATCGGTCCCAGTAGGCCGAGCCTCACAAAGCTAAAGAGACCTGCTGTTTGACACACTCCTCTACAGAATAAAGCAAACCACACATATGCTCACTCACACTTTAGACACACACTGAAATGGATTTCATCACTTTTCTGGGTTTGTAAATCACTTTCAGCTTTGGATATCTACACATAATTAAAGTGCCTGAAACTGTATACATTTGCTGTATACTAAACTCTTTTGATAAAAAGTTATTTAAAGGACTATGTTAACCTGTTAAACTAGGCTTGACTTGATCTGGGTGAAAGGCGACTGTACTTACATGTATTCCCGGTGTGCTGAGTGGACAGCGGCAGCGTTGCTGTACCGCCACAATACAATGATAGAGGACAACACGTCCAGCGCGGCATCAAACTGCAGAGTGAAAACAAACATGTTACATTGTCTTCACTAGCTATATCAGGCAGTGTTAGCCATGTTAGCCATCATAGCATCAGTGAAATGGAGGCTTTACTATTGACTTACAGCAAATCCAAAAGCTGAAGCACTGCTGCGCATAAAGGAAACAGCTGCAAAGAAAGCACAGAGGAGAGAGAATGAACTTAACTAAAACTGATTCAGTGCATTGGCCACTACAACATGTACACATGAACTGTTTTCTAAACCAAAGTTAAGTCTGTCACCATAATAGTAATAAGGCAGACAGCCTGTTTTAAAACCAGCTTCACTAAACATTTAGCAGAATAAAAAAAAATTCATCCATATCCAACTACATATTCCTACTTATGGACACAGAGATGGATTTTGATTGTTTTCTAATGGAAGTGATGCATCTCCTGATTTTACTTTTAATTACATGTCAAAATATCTTCCAGTGTGTGTAGCTGTGCATCAGGAGTTTACTTTACATAAATTTTTCCCATCTTGATAGTGCCTGTTAGCCTCTCTGTTGAATACACACAAAACCAAACAGGATTGTTTTTAACCACATGTGCATGTGCTCACAGAGGATGGGTCGTATCCCCATGTACAGACAGAAAAACCCCAGGATGAAAGTTGTTTTTGAAGGATTCCTGACAGCAGCGTGAAGAGTTCCTGTCACTGGCTGTGAACAAATTAGGGGCGAAAGCTGCCAAATAAAAAGTCTGTCAGGAGAATCCTTCATTTAAAGTGAATGGAGAGAGAGATTTGTCCTGCAGTCAGGACACTGACTGAGTCTCCTCCTGTTTGACTGCAGTGATGGATGGCTAGCATGTCCAGAGCTGCAATTTAGTGAGGAGTTGCCTTTTTAGCCTTTATTAGTTTCTGCAGCAAACCTGTCAGACAGGTTAAGATTTATTGTATTGACTGAAGTAATTTAGTTATCAGCACATTACTTGCCTGATTTGACCCAGTGGCAGTGAGTCATAGATGTGTTGAAAACTAACAACAGAATGAAGAAGAGATAAAGAAAGAAAGATGCAGATAGACAGGAGGGAGGAATCCTCCCCTCTCCTCCCAGGTTTATTTTTAGCAAAACTCACTGGGGGCCAGCAACTCGCCTCAGCCCTGCATAAAGAAACACAGCACACGCTGCATTCGCTTTCTCATTTTCCTTTCTCTGCTGCAAGAGCAGAAACATCATTTCTCTCTATCCCTGAACTCTTATTCCCCAGTCTCCCTCGCTTTCCCTTTCTTCATCCTCTCCTTTTCTCCTTTATTGTTGCATCTACATTCAGTTGTTCTCTCTGGGCTGCAGGCACAATCACGCACTCCCCTGCATCACCGAGACTAAAATGAAAACAAAATGAATGCTGCCTTCACATTCTCTTGCAAATACCTAAGCACACCTGAACAACCCCTGAATACAGATGAGAAGGCAGAAGTTTTATATAACAGAGATCTCCAGAGATGCAGCATGATCTATAAAACAACTTTTAGTCAGTAAATTATGTGCCTAGTAACCAGTTTCCCTTCACCCTTGCATTCAGTAAGTAAACTTGTATTAGAAACACTCTGGTTGGGAGGTGAGCGAGTAAAAAATGACGAACCCAGGTAGCTGACTTCGGTGCAAGAAGTGCTCTATTTATTTACAGTGAAAATACGTGTACAACCAGGTGAAGGAATATGGAGCAGAACCGGGTGTCGAGCGGCAGTCCAGGAAAACATACAGTTAGTGGTGGGTGATAAGGAAGAAGCCGGGCTGCGGACGCTAGGATTCACTCCTGGACTGGTCGTGGAGGTTGGCTGCTGAGGGGACAAAGTCAGAGTAACGGTTAATAGAAGACTGTGCATCGGCCTGCGTGGTGGGGTGCTGTGGAGTTGATGAGGTCCGTGGTCCGAAGGAGCGATAGCGGCTGGGACGACAATACACGGGGCACAAGGCAGATGAGCACGGTATAAATAGGAAGAAACTAATCAGGTGCAGCTGGCGGTGATTCAGGGGACGAGAAGCAGGTGTGTCAGATAAAGAAATCAGGGGTAAGGGAGCTAAAATTGAGGGAGAGAAGTGAGAGAGGCAGATGCAGCCAGGCAAACCTGACACTTGATTCTGAAAGTGTAACATCGACAAAACAGAAAAACTTGTTTTGTAAAAGAATGCATTATTTGTAGGCAAAAGAATTTGAGTGCATAGTATGTCATATTAATGACACCATCTGGAAGGTGAATCCTGCACAGCAGTATGTAGCTCCAACAAGATACTGATGGAATTATTGTTAAGGTTTGATATATCCTCTGGAATAAAACAGAACTCTTAACTCATTCCTGATCAGA